TGATTGACGACGTCGTATCGCAGGAGAAGGTCAACTATCACCGGGCGTGTCATCAGGTGTTGGATCGGGGTCTGTACCTGGGCTATCTGAAGCTACGGAGCTCGGTGGACCTGCTGCGCGTGCTCGTGCGCGAAAACACACCCAACGTGCTGCCGCACGTCAAGATTCGAACCAATCCACACGTGTCTAGGTAGGTGCTGACTGCAGCGACAGGTAGTGCTCGCGGCAGGCATACATCATATGATACTTTCTTCTTCGTCTTACTTTCTCTCTCGCAATGTTGTATTTTCGTGTGGGCAATGCGAGCAAAGTTCTAATTAGTGATCTCCATCTGTAAACACTGTCAGCATGCTCATTTTTAACTGTGATGGTAATTATTCCTATTAATATTGTCGTTTTTATGATTATTATGATTATTATTATTATTGCTGGTGTTGCTGCTGTTGTCGATGGTGATCTTGCTGTTGCTGCTGTGTTTGATTTTGTTAACTTTGTTGCACATATGATATTTTAATCGCTATTTTTTCATTAAAATTAACAGTGTTTTTTTAGATTTTGTTAGTTCATGATCTGCAATTATCAAAACTGCAGTCTTCCAGAAGTTGCGTTATCTCAGTTCGTGCTCTTGATCGGATATTGCAGAGTGGAGTGGGAGTGGCTGCAAAATCTCGATGCCAATCAGGTGAAAGGTCCACCGACTGCAGTGCAGCAAAGATTCCAAGAGCTCATCAAAGATGCGACCGTTCAGCTGCTTGAAGAGCTGGGGGTTACTGAAGACCAAGCAGTCAGCCACAGGTACGCTGCAGTAACGCACACACGGGTGACTGCTCACACATGCTATGTGCATTGCATGATAGTTAGGCAAACCCTGTTAGCGCTCACCTCTGTAAAGGGCTCTATTATGGGGGGGGGAGAGTTCTCCACGGGTGGCAGTTATTTAATAACACCACTACTGTAGAATTAATAACCACTGTAAAAAGGAAACTTCTCGAATTTTGTAGCTTGTACACAGGCTAGCCGATAACTATGGTGTTCCGAAATTGCCATCGCGCGTCGTGCGATTCAAATGTGCGACGTCGCGCACGACGTCGCACATTTCTGTTTCATAATTGCCGTCGCGGTACGCAACCGTGCCATGTTGTGGTACTAATGGCCTGGTTGAGGGGATCTTCGTTTTTGAGGTCTTCGTTTTCGAGGTCTTCGTTTTCGAGGTCTTTAGTCTTCGGTCTTCGTTTTCGAGGTCTTCGTTTTCGTAACACCCTCTCTCTATAGATATAATAGCGCTGATGTCTGCTCAATTTTAGTATCTCTCGTTGCTCTTGATCTGCAAACTTGTCGCTCGCACGTTCTGATATAAGCTATAGAACGCTGCTACACGCCGGTAGATGTATATATCTGATTATCAGAACACCGCCGAATATATTCCGAATAATTATATATACGAACACTATAACTATACAATATATATATACATAGTTTTAGCTTTTTATATATATATATTATACGGTGCGTGCATGAGCCAGCACGTTACTCCGTTTCATCGGATCTTCGGTCAGTCAGGCCCCCAGTAGTTCAAAATTTCCCATCCCGGATCTCCAACCCTCCCCCTATATTATGGTCGTTAGCTCTATCGCGCGTAGCCTTGCGGTGCTGAAGACCTAGTCCAGTGTAAACCTATTCATTTCTGGCTAACTTCGTATGATAGGTGGTATAAAGGTATTGGTCACCTCTCCTATATTGCCTGAGCTCACGCTGTGATATGTGAATGCCGGACGGGGCATGCCGAGGACATCCATGAACAAGAATTTGCCTTACGTGCACATTTGATCACGGAATTATAGTAAGCCCCCCGCACATGCTGTGGAACTTGCTGCCGCCTCGTTCCAAACGTGGTGGGATATGGCGCAGCACAGTTCAATGCCCGTGCGCGGATGCAAAAATCTGCGTCGTAGTTGGAAGATCATCATACGTGTTTGATATTTTCTTCTTTTTTTTTAGTCTGGAAGATTGAACAGAGTGCTGCGGAGTATGGCATGTTTTTTTTTGTTTCATTATTTAAATTTCAATTTTGGTGGTTTTAGGTTGTTTTATCACATATAACATTCACGCGATCGAAAGCTTGGATTCACGGATTGAATGCTTCCGATTCACGGATCGAATGCTTTGATTCACGGATTTCGCAATGCTTCGATCACGGATTGAATGCTCCGATTCACCGGATCGGAATGCTCGATTCACGGATCGAATGCTTCGATTCACGGATCGAAGCTTCGTATCCGTGAAATCGAAGCATTCGATCCCGTGAATGTTATATTTGTGATAAAATAATATGCTGCTGCTGCTGGTGGTGGTGTAGTGTTGATGGTGCTGCTTGCTGATGGTGGTGTTGACGTCTGTTTCTGTTGCTGCTCTGCTGCTGCTGGTCGGTGTGTAATGTGCTGATGTTGTGGCCTGTTGACTTGCTGCTGCTGGTGGTGGTGGCGGTATTGATGTTGCTGCCTGATGCGTGGCGGTGCTACTTGCAGCCTGTTTTGTATTCGTTGCCTCTGAATCTGGTCTCAGTTTTAGTGGGATCTAACGCAGGAACATACTTTGGAAATTTCATACTGGGACTAGGGGCTGTTTGTACGATGGTTTTATGCTAACGAAAGCTTCATTCACGACGTCTGTAATCCAAACGAACGATATACGGCTAGAGAGCAGAATAACATAATGTCTCTGTTATTAAATAACATCTCTATTGTTCACTCCTGATAATATTGCTTGCCAATCTCTGAAGACCTACCTACATAATATAACTTGTATAGACGTGCAATATCACAGATTGCGTTAATGAACATTATCTCTCGCGCAGCATTCGTTCTCCTAAAATTAACGGTGAGAAATATCAGCTGCGTAGATATTACATCTGAAGTGGCCGGCATACATCGAAGCACATAGAAGTACATCGAAGTACCAGTCTGTTCTGCTAGCATCTGTGATAAATACGACATACGCATATACGCTATTCTATGACACTATTTGTCATAGGAAGATTCTTCCTATGACAAATATTGTTGTATGTGTTGTGCGCATCATAGGAGTTTAGGAGCGCTATTATGAACGCAAGCAGTGAATTTCAGCTGTAAAGCGGAACGAAGCTGACTCGCCAATATTTGTCATAGGAAACATAAAGAATATTTATATGACAAACAGTGTCATAGGAGAGCGTATATGCGCTTATAGCTAACGCGTGTAGTGCATACACTACTAGTATACTACATACAAATACAAGAAAAGATTCATATTAATTAATCATTTTATGGCATGCATAGAATTACATAAAAAATAATCATACTACTATTAGATCTATATAGACCTACATGTAGATTTCATCGTTTACTTCATGTTTACTACATGTTTATTTCATTCCACGCGTGCAGTGTGGACTCAAACACCACATATGTTGAAATGTCATGTTGAAATGTCACGTTGAAATGTCAACAAATAAGGTTAAACTAAATTATATTCAACACAAAATATGATATTGAGCACAAATGAAATAACAAAACCAAAAGCAATCAGCGTTCGTCAATAGCGTTCGTTCGTATATGCGTGTGCCTGTACGTATGCTACTTCGCTCCTTCTCACAGGGCATTAAATAATATCGGTGTTCGGTGTTGTTCGATGATCAGTGTCAGATGAATAAATATCAAGTAATGTGAGATCAAATGATACCCTGGTCACTGCGCCAAATTATACACTGCGCGCTATCGGCTCGTGTTCGTTGTATAGCGTTCGTTGTTGTACCTTGCGATGTGTGTATGGTTTCCTAGGTTCTGTCCGGCTGGTATCAATGTTCTTCTTGCGGATTGCATGAGAGATGTGAGTTTTAATGAGTAGACTATCAGTGTCACACAGTAGATACAAACAAGTGATTGTGGTGAACGGACTATAGGTTTATTCTAGCAAATCAGAAAGTCACTACACAGACTAGATGAATGCCGGGAGCACACGAAAACACGGCTTTTCACGATGATAACTATTGCGATGGCCCTCTCTGACTCTGGAACGCGCATGGGGGATTTATGTCACTAAATGGCGACACTTACGGTAATGTGGGGCGTGTTCCGAGGGTTTGGCCTCACTCCCGGGGAGTATCTTGTTCTTTTCGCTTAGTCATACGTGTGTCGCTAAAAGCTAGCGACCGTAAAGTGTAAACGCTATGGTGGACTAGAAATCTAATAATGTGGACGCTTTTAGCTTTGCACCAAGATGACGATGACGTCCTTCTCTGCGGAGGGTCTTTTAATATTACAAATACGTACCCGCATGAGTGAAAAGACACACACATTATTTATCTAAAATTTCAAGTGAGCTTTCGTGATATCGCTGCTCCTTTAATATAAGCAATACGGACACGTGTCGGAGGGCCGCTTGTCATGGCGGTCGCTCCCTTTCCAACTGTCCTGGCTGCCACCTGTAACGTCGGGTCGGGCTATCCATATTCTCTCCACGAGTGTACGCAAACGAAAGAACTCGAAAACAAAGACCAAAAGCCCAAAGACCTCGAAAACGAAAGACGCAAAAACAAAGACCACCATCAACCAGGCCATTATACCACAAAAATCAAGGTCTTCTTGTGCCCTGGACGTATAAAATATGGTATTTTTTGCAGTTGATTAGGGTCTTCGTTTTCGTAATTTTGGGTGTCAAATCACGAAAACGAAAGACCCCGCCTAGATTCATCGATAAGCAACGGATTCGCTCAAAAATACAGTACGAAGAACATTCAGCAAAATTACTCCTCATGCTTGCGGAAACCTGATTAATTTTGTCCCATTTTGATCAGCCGCCTTTTCAGAGTCTAGGACAGACCAGAGTAATAATATAATAATTGCTTTATTGGCATTCTTGTAACAACATATTTTACATTTGAATATATGATCCCAAATAAAAGAAATATGAAAAAGAGTATATTGTGATGAAACACAAAATGACGCTAAATTTTAATAACGTTATTACTAAAAACTGAATTCGCAAACAATCGAAGAGCTTCAACTTTAATTAGTAACGTTAATTGATAAGAACGATTGTTGAATGATTTTCGCAACCGAAGGCAGGCTCACATTAAAAAGACAGTAACTTATGTTGAAATCGATATACAGAGGATGAAAAGAACCGGTTGAATCCCTAATTTAGGAGAGCGTTCTCCAAACACCATAACACAACTTTTATCAACATATCAAACCAAGTGCATTTATCGATACAAACCTGGAGTTGCTTCAGTTTATAAAACGTGCTTGCCTCAGTTGTGCCAACGGTGTGAGCTTTAATAAGGCTTTGCGCCCTAGTTTGTTTGGCCTTATGTACGGTTACTTTCACGAGCACAATGTCCACTATTATTTTTGGTCACACGATTGGTAGATAATTAAATGTTTTTTGACGTGTTTTTACAAGAAAAACATTAATTTTACTCATTAATATAAGATATACTATCCCTATAATTGTAATCTGAGTGTAAATGTGTTAATTTTCATCTTAATATTAAAGGTACGAAGATGGTCTGGACTCCCGTAATGTAAAGACATATTTGCGAGATTTTTCGTTCTCATAAACTTTGCGATGTTTCTGTCAACGCGTTTACGAGTGAAGTTAATGTTAAGACTAATAGTTAAGAATAATTTTGGTTTCTCTGGACAAGCGGGCCCCTGGTACTAGCAGACTATTCGTCGATGTTGTGGTACTAATGGCCTTGGTTGAGGGGAGTCTTCGTTTTCGAAGGTCGTTTGCGTCTTCGGTCTTCGTTTTCGAGTTCTTCGTTTTCGTAACACCCGGAGAGAAAAAGAGAAGGGAGAGAGAGAGAGCAACGCGCGCGAGAGAGAGACGAGGCTATAACGTATGAATTTTTTCCGTTGGACGCGTTAATAGTGCATTGAAGCGTAATGAAACGTGCGCTTAGCGGCGAAAGCAAGCTACGAAATGCGAAACAAGCGACTAGGGAGCAAGCGAGAGAGAGAGAGAGCGAGAGAGAGAGAAAAGAGAGAGGAGAGCGGAGGAGAGCGCGCGCTGAGAAAGAGATGGAGAGAAAGAAAGAGAGAAGCGCGAGATCACGCGCGCACGGTGAGGAGAGAGACAGACAGAGAAAGAGAGAGAGAGAGCGAGAGAGCTGAGTCAAATCAGAATAAAATTCTTCGTGAAAATTTGACAGCCATAATTCTGTTGTATTGCTAAAGGGATGCGAATAATTAGGGTCTTTGAGTCTATACTTCTATTAAAAACAATATAAATAACTATTCTCAATAATACCGCCACCTATATAAAAAAGAAAAGAAAACTGTGGTACATAATGTTTACAGCGATGCATTATTGAAATACATCCATGAAACAAGTGTATACAAACAAACAGTCAACCTTCCCACCTGCAATCATAACCGCTAAGCCCAACGTGTAATGGAGGGATATGCCTCACTGTGTCGAAAATGTTCAAACGTTCAATTGTTCAAATTTAACAGTTCGTTTAAGGCATTTAACGTTCAATTGCATCGATTGATTGTTTCAATTGAAGAGTCAATTTAATCATTTCCAAACGTTCAATTTGATTCGATGTGATTGTTCAAATTGATCCGATTGATTGTTCAATTCGAACAGTCGTTTAATCATTCAACGTGTCAATGGAGCAATTAAATAACAAATTGCCAAATTGGAATCGCCGAATGACCGAGTTTGACGACATTGACGAATTTGGAGTTGACAAATCAAAGGCACCACGATACTGAATACGCCGTATTGAATCATGGAATGAAGCGCAATTGGCGCCGAGACAGCGCTCTCTCGTTATCCGCCAAAATCAAACGTATACCTACTGACATACGCGCACAGGACGGCATGACGGAACCGCGGTAAGCGCGTTACGTTGCTAGGAACGCAATCGGCCGGACCGGCACCAACAAGTCTGCGGTCTCCCAGCTACCGCAACAGTGCCCGAACCCTCCCAACCGCCCTCCCCGTGTACCCGCCCTGGTACGTGAGGTACCCGCGCTTGTACGTGCGTGTATCTGCGTTGTACGTGCGTGAGTTATCCGTCGTGTGAACGTGCGTTACGGCGTGTACCCGCGGGCACACGCAGAAGGAGAGAGACAGAGATGAGACGAAGAGAGGCCGGCTCTGATGATGCGCGCTGCGAGAAGAGAGAGGAGACGAGAGCGGAGCGAGGAGAAGAGAGACAAAGAAGAGAGAGAAGAGAGCTTGAGAAAGAGATGTAGAGACGAGAGAGACGAGAGAGAGGGAGAGAGCAGATGATGAGGAGAGGAGGTGGAGGAGAGAGATATGGAGAGAGAGAGTGAGAGTACAGAGAGAGAGAGAAGAGAGAGAGAGCGAGATAGAGAAAGAGACGATGAGAGGGAGAATAAGAAGATGAGCGCGCCGAGAGAGAGCCGCAACACAACATCGTCACACCAACGGCATCGAAACGGACAAGTAAGCGTAGGCCCCAAAAAAAGAGAGCAATTATTGCGAAGCGAGCGGTCGTAACTTGCTCGCAAAAATGTGCGTTCGAAATTAGATGGCGCACGCCGCCGCGATGGCATTTATGAACACGAAGTTAAAATAAGGCGACTCGCGTTTTGAAAAAGGGCGACGTGCGCCGTTTGAAAAAGGGCGACGTCGTGCTGCTTAAAAAAGGGCGACGTCGCGTTTTTTGAAAAAAGACGACGTCGTGTTTGAAAAAGCGCGACTCGCTGTTTTGTAAAAAAGGGCGACGTCGCGTATTTGAAAATGCGCGACGTATTCGTGTTTGACAAGGGGCGAACGTCGTGGTGGAAGAAAGGAATAAAAAACACGACGGCGACGGCAATTATGGAACAGAAATGGGCGACGTCGTGCGCGACGTCGCACATTTGAATCGCACGACGCGCGATGGCAATTTTGGAACACCATAGATAACCGCAATTACAATAGTTCAAACGCAATCTTCTAACAGTGATATGCATCCACAGCCGAGAATCAGCATCTTCCCATGTGCTCTGCCTGTTCCAGGCCTGTAGCCGTGCAGTCAGTTACACGTGTAACCATAAACACATCTATGTTGTAGAGATATGTTCATTGTATACGACACTTGCGCATCTTAAAATCTTTACTCGGTTGTTTTAGGGGGCGGGGGGGTGATGTTTTATATAGATACGTGTAACGTGTACCTTTCAACGTGTAATGCTGACAGCAACAGACCGTGTGGGAGGAATGTTAGGGATATCCTGTCGTCCCGTATTTCTATTTCACACATAATTAATAATAATAATAATAATGAATGTTAGGGATATCCTGTCGTCCCGTATTTCTATTTCACACATAATTAATAATAATAATAATAATAATAACAGTTCTAATGAAATACAGTCTTAGTGATTAGGGTAAGCGCGCAGACTACTGCGGCTGACGTCATGCATTCTGATCGTCTGCGTATTCTCTACTTTCAGCTTGTACGACGTACAACACACGGCTTTGCGTAGCGGTTTTTTGGGGCGTCTGTATGTCGCGCGTCCTCGGTGAGCGCAGGACGCGGCGGCGACGACGGGGTACGTACGTGAGCGAGATAGATGCTGAGGGGCATCTCGTCGGTCGCGCGGCGAGTGCGCCTCGGCGACGTCGGCTGAAGTCATCACGTGATCTCTCTCTCTCTTCTCATAGGTTGTACGACGTCGAGGTGGTGGAGTTGTCACATGACGTCACCTTCCTCCTGCTGCTGCCACCGATGGAGGAGGTGTGCTCCGTGCCAGGACAGAGCGACCACCTTGCTCACCGAGAGGGCTTCCTCTCTCTGCCCGTGCAGATCTTCGAAATGAGTGAGTGAACTACAGTGAACTACAATGAAGTGGCTAACAGTGATCGATCGGTCCAACAACACTGAACTTAACCCTAACCCTAACCATAAGCCTGACCCTTGCCCTCACTCTAACCCTAACCCTAACCATAACCTTAAGCCTAACCGTGGCACTACCCCTTATAACCCCAACTAACGCTAACTCTAACCTTAACCCTAGCTCTAAGCATTTTTTCAGTGTAACGTGTGTGTTGATTGACACATGCTGCCAGCAATCTATTATGACAGACGGTAATACCAAATTATTAACAACGGGATGAACATCTTCGTGTCATTTTTGTTTGTAGTAACCGTGGCGTAGATTTAGCGGTACTGACATTTTACAGTCAGTACCGCTAAATCTACGCCACCGTTATGCATTATGTTTATTAATTTATTGATTTCTGGCCAAATCAATTCATTTTCCCAAACTAATTTTCATTATTTTCATCCAAGTCACTTTGCCATCGTTACAATAACATTTTAGAGCGAAAATAAATTTATCATTAAAGAATCATATCGTTAGTGGTGATAGATAGCCGGTGGCGAACTAACAGCTAAAACGACTACGGGCCGTCGGTGATGAGTGTGTTTGTTGGCATCGTTGCAGTTCACATGTGCACATATCAGAAGCCGTTTATCTGTCGCTACTCGCGCCTGTCTTCGCTGCTGGAGATGAACTCGCTGATGGCACAACACGCGCACAGAGAGGTAGGTTCTACGCTCTCTCTCTCTCTCTCTCTCTCTCTCTCTCTCTCTCTCTCTCGCGCTTTTTTCTTTTTTTTTTTGTTTTCCTCTCCTCTCTCTTTCTCTCTCTCTCTCGTCGCTCTCATCTCTCTCTTTCTCTCTCTCCTCTCTCTCTCTCTCGCCTTATCTCTCTCTCTTTCTCTCTCTCTCTCTCGGCTCTTCTCTTTCGCTCTCTCTCTTCTCTCTCTTCTCGCTCTCGCTGGTCTCTCTTCTTCTCTTCTCTCTCTCTCTCTCTCTCTCTCTCATCTCTCTCTCTCTCTCTCTCTTTCTCCTCTCTCTCTCTCTCTCTCTCTCTCTCGCTTATTCTCGCTCAGTGTGCCTATCCTTTTCTCTTTCTACCTCTGTCTCTTGTCACTCTCTCTCTCGCTCTCTCCTCTCTCAGTGTTGCTTATCCTTCTCTCTTCTCTGGTCTCTATCTCTT